CGTTTGCCTGGAATTTTCCGATGCACACAAGAAAACAAATTAAAGATAATTTCTACATTTACTGACTGATTATGAAATTTCGTTAATGATACGTGTTTAGATTAGATTTTGTTACAAATTGAATATCAAGATGAATTTCGTATTATTTTAATGATCATATCTGTCTATAAAGAAATGTATTAAGACGTTAGTTGGAGATAATTAGGCTATTGGTACATAATGTATTTATTATCAGTAGTTATTTGTAAAATATTGTTTTAATGAAACCATGAGAAAGTTTGTTCGGTTAGCAATATCAGTTAATTACCATTCAATCTTTCTGCAAATGAATTTGTTCCTGTATCAAGTAAGGAAGTGGGTGTTCAGAGAGGGGAATTACTCAATAATTGATTTGCCACTTATTAAATTTTAAATATTTGATTTTCAAATACAAATGTTTTGAATTTTTGAAATGTACATTTTAATTTGATTATAGAAGTGAAAACAAGGAATACTATTAGGGGTCTGTAAATATTATGGATTATGGATATTTGCTTTTCAAGCCAACATGCTAAACTCAATAGTGATAGAAACAGATATGTAGTCCAGGGGTCACTGGTTTGATCCTGGTGTCAGGTGAAATTTCTCCATGACAATTGTTAACAGACATTGAGTCTTGGTCACTTGTTGATTCAAAAATTATGTAGGATATTAGTAGTAATGTCGCTTGCGGAGAAAAATTATTGGTCATTAGTACTGGTAAGTCGACCAGGAAAACCCGTGCAAGTGCTCTAACCACAATAAGGTGATCCTTTGGCACCAGGTGTAAAACCAGCTTTTCAACTGTGACTTTACTGTGTACTGTTGGTTGGCTGCTGAATTTAAGCATTTTCATAATGAAACCCCTCAACAATTACAATAGACTGTTCCAAACCAAAGCAGGACAAGTTCATTATAGAAAATTAAGCAGGGTAAATGTCAAGCAGATTAGTGAGGATTTATTCATAAAAGACATCATTTCAAGAATATTGCTCAAGTCATTGTACTTGTTTAAATTTACAAGACACTTAAAAGAGTTCCTTAGTTAGTTTTACTACACATTTTACTTTGACAAATTACTCTGTACTGTTATAAATTAAAATGTCAATTAGTGTAATTAGGTATTAAAAGTCATTGTCCTGCTCGGTCATAAGTGCATGTTACCCCTGTACTTTAACAGTGTATTAAGCTGGAATATCAATAAATCTAGTTTGGGCATAAATTTACTTAGTTCTCCAAGGTGAAGTGTGCTAATGATTAACTTTGTTTACGTATTATGTAAATAACTTTTTTGATGTAATTGGTAGGATATAGAGTAAACAGCATTGCATTGGTTTTGTATAGATGTTTGATATCCTCCTAGAATTTTTTTCCTTGATTTTTTTTTGCCTCCCACTGACTGTTTCTCATATAGTACCATTATTTATTAACTGCTATTTATTGTGTTGGTCTTCTACATTTGGATGGAGTTTCAGATGAATTGGGTCAAGGTCACTGATGCCAAAAATTGATTTTCATTATTTGTATCATAGTTATTTACATATGTCAGTAGAGACGGAGTCAGGGATCATATATTGATATTATGGATATTTTTAATGTTTTAATTTCACCAACTACTTAAACAGTTGCTGAAAAATTGATTAGTACTCAGGTACTGTTGTATTGAATAGTACAACTAGTATATGATTGAAATACTGTTAGAACCAAGCAAAAATCTTACTCACATCAAAGTTATTATTAAAGTAAAGCAGTGATACCTATAAAACAAGGTGCGATGCAATGGTGTTTGTTTAGGTAACAAATTACCTGACAGCCTTGTTTTGGGTGCATGGGTTTCTTATGTTTGCAATCTTGTAAGGAATGTATTTAGGAGGTTTGCCAGACTGCTAATTGTCAATTAGAAGTATTTACTGATCATTGATGAAGTGGTATGGTAAGGACTTTTAATACTAAATGCATGTTTATATAGAATGGTGGATCACTCTCTGATTGTTGGGAAAAATATAATTCCAGGTTAATATCAGTACAGATTTGAATGACGCTTTTTGTATGTAATTCTCATTACATAAAGAGTTGTAAGAAGGCTGGTTTTATTTAGTCACATGTACAATTTGATGTCTTGACATTTTCTAAAGTACACTCATACATATTTTTTTGTGTCAATTATTTTGTTAGGCCTGCACAGTCATGCGTTATTATGGACATGAACTGGCTTGGAATCTGGCACTCAAAGCCAGTACAGAGCCCTGTAAAGTTTTTAAAAGGAACATATTTGATGGATTCCAAAGTTTTACAACTGGTATTCCTTCCCTTATAGACAAGCAACCCAAATGCCTTGTGATGCTTTTTCAAAGTATTCTAAATTCTAAGTATGTAATTAAAATTCTCAGCATTATTTTCAAATTTCACAAGTTTCTAGTTACATGATATTTCCCAGAATTCAGACACAATTAAAGTTTGAAGATAAAGATCAAACAATCTGGCGTGTTTAATCCAAGACAGAGATTTAAGGATAAACCAATGTAAACATCCTGGTGCTGTGAAATTACACTTTTTTATAGGCCATGTGGGGGGCTCCACCGCTTCTGTTTCTTATATAAACATGACTGTATATTTATGTTGTTTTGGAAATTAATAGTGGTTAACCACTATGTGCAAACTATGTTCTTAACAAAACTTACATGGGGAATAGATCGTTACAGTGTTGATACTTAGGAAATGATTTCACAGTGGGCATGTCGTTCAAAGAAAAGCTCATAGTCGGGTCACAGTAATTGACAAAAAAAAATTGCCAGGATTTTTTCTCGCAGCAGGAATTATGTTGGATACATGAAAAAGTTATTTTTTCTTGATGCAAAAGAATGTATACAATTACGATATTTTTTCAAGTGGAGATCTTGTTAACATGGTGTCGGGAAGTGGGGAGATTTGAGGAAGTTTAGGTAAATCACTTAAAGGTAAAGAACCGTGGATTTTCGTAGATTAATTTTATGTTATATTAAATGAGATTTTAGGCGAGTATTATTACAGAGAAAATATATTTAGTTTCCTGTTAATAGAGGGCTTACAACGTAATTTAAATCAAGATCCTGGTGTGCATGAAAAAAATAGAAGAAGATATGATTTTCAGTCTGTAAGATTTCTACAGTAAACGCCTATAGGCGGTGCAAAACATGTTCCTGTAAAATAAGCATTTGTAACTAAAATGTTTACTTATTTTTTTCATCTCGTACAAAAAAGTTTTATTTCTTGTGTCTGGTACAAAAAAAGTTCAAATGTTTTTAATGTTTTATGCCTATTGTTTATATATATAAGATTAAAGTAAATACATCTTTGCAGAACTGGCAAGGCTAATAAGTTGTATGATATTTTGATATAGAAATCCTTCAAACATGCTACTAATCTGTTATACCTAATCAAATGGGTAAAGGAAAATTCTCAAACTTGTGTTTCATCAAAAAAAATTAAAAAAATGAACAAAACTAATTAGGCTCTTGGTACAAAACTGTTGTGTCTATGTTATTTCTTTTGAGTTACAACTGCCTCACCCCATGCTCCTGTATTTATGAACAGTTTGAAACATTTTATCTGTAAGTGAAACAGTTGATTAAGCTGCTGATGATTTTTCATTGCCAAGATTTTCATCCCGGCTTTAAAATAGTTTTAAGGGATGCTGATTGAATCGTTTTATAACACTAGATAATGCCTTGAAGAAGCATGCTAATTGGTCGGGATGAAAACTATATTAATCAGTATTGAAGGAGATCTTCGCAGAAGCAGTCTAGGTATTTTAAATGCATTATGCGAGTTTTTTATTTTAACTCCCTTGAAATAATCAGTTTTCTTTGTTACGGGACGGAAAAAAAAAACTACAACAAATAACATTATGCATTAGGAAAGGATGCAAGGCGCTGCCATTTCTTTTACAATTTTACATCGGCTTTTTTTATATTTAAAAAAAAAAAAGCTTTTGAAAAGCTCTGTTTTAAGCTCCGTTAGCTTGTATTGCAGTGGATTATGGGAGAAATATGCAAATAAGGCATGCTGGCTGTCATACTGTAGATCTAATCATCTCGAGATCTTTGATCGCGTAATTCCATGTAACGCTTGTGTCGTCCTTCATTTGAACGCATGTTTCAATGCTGGCTGATTGTTTTCTTCGGTTCGAAAATGTGAATTTTATGTAAATACGCTTACAATAGTTGTTGAGATGATCTTTCGGAGACAGTTCAACTTCTGTTATGATTCCATAAATCGTGAAAAAGCAAGCATTTGTATGCTATTAATTGATTACACATGGAGGAATATTGTCCTTAAAGATGGTTATCACAAATTGTACCATGTTTTATGCTTGTACTTATAATGGGTTTTCTTGCTAAGGCCGTTTTATTGTTTTCTTTCAAGGATTTGCCTTTGCCGTCGCATTGTTTAATTTTTTAGAAGAATTTTTTTTGTAAATTTTTGCCGTAGAAATTTGGTTATTTTTTTCTTTTTGGGCTTTTGAATTCCATTGTCTTTAGTCATACAAGAGTATTCATTTGGAATTGAATTTAAAGACTTAGAGAACAGAAAAATACTATTAGCGCCATCTGTAGTCATTTATGTGAATTAAAGTCCATTGTGTGACAAGCTTAAAACCATTATCATTTAAATATGATTAAAATTCCTTACATTCAGCATGCTTAGAAACTTTTTAATCATTCCCTTTTTGTCTGACATCATTACATGAGAAATGGATAGTGTAAACTGATCATGATATGGTGTCAGCTGAAGAAAATCATCCATGTGGAACATGTGTCATATAAATATGATATTGATGTCAAATGATAAGTAAGATGATTAAAAATGGTGTCAAGTGTTAAAAATTTGGAGTCAACTGATGAAAATCATCTGTTTCAACTCAGGTTTTGAAATTGTCAAAAATGATATTGTTGTCAAATGGTCAAGTAAGATGATGAAAATTGTGTCAAATGATAAATATTTGGTGTTGGCAGCAGCAAATCATCCATTGAAATAGACATGAGTGTCAAATGATGATAATGATGCCAGATGATAATGTTAGATAATAAAAAGGTGTCAAATGAATTTCTGATATTTAAATGTTTAGTTAGTGTCAAGTTGTATTAAATACATTAAATGATAAAAATACCAAGCTGATAAAGTTTCAATATAAAGGGCATGTGTGTCAATTGTTAATATTGACATCAAATGCTTTACACATTTAACAGAAGTCACTGACGTAAATAGATGTTGGTGTTAAGTGGCAATGTTAAATGATGAAAAAATGATGACTTTTAAAAAGTGTTGATGCTGAAATATTGTTGTAATTTGTAGGCAGGAAATGAAAAAGGTCTCAAATGATGCCAATTGATGGTTTCTTATGTTGAAATGAGAATAACTGGTGTCAAATAATGGTAAAAAATACGGTGTCAAGTAATAGCATTGCATGAATGTCAGATAATGAAATTTCAATGTTTTTGCATTCTGGGATTTATTTCTATGTTCACTGGGATAGGAAATGTTGTCAGACTCCACAGTTCTGACAGATTATTACTTTAGCAGACGGAGACTTAAGAAAGTCAACACGTTTATTTCTTTAAAACAGTTTTTTGAGCTTATATCAATTCCTGTGTCTGAAGAGAAATCCTGTATCATAAAGAATGTATTTACTTTTTTCTTTATGGACAGTTTTAGATAGGGACGTAGATAGGAACTGTAGATAATGAAGAAAAAGTTGAGGAACTATTTTCTTCAAGTGTATGTAGGTAAGGCATAAGTGATCACTCAGACCTGATTGCTATCTTATTAATAGCATCTTTCACTGATAAGCCTACAGACATGAGAAACAGGACAGCTTTTGTGTCATAAACTATAAGTCTGGTAATTTAAAACGGGTCAGGTTTCATATGCTTAATTATGTCTCCCCCACCTCGGGGGGGGGAGACATATTGTTTTTGCCCTGTCCGTCCGTCCGTCCGTCTGTCCGTCCGTCAGTCAGTCCGTCCGTCCATTCTTCGTTTCCGGACGATAACTAGAGTTCCTTTTGACCTACAGCTCTCAAACTTCATAGGATGAATGGTCTTATTGAGCAGATGATCCCTATTGTTTTTGGGGTCAGTAGTTCAAAGGTCAAGGTCACAGTGACCGTTGGTCAATTTCTCGTTTCCGGATGATAACTAGAGTTCCTTTTGACCTACAGCCCTCAAACTTCATAGGATGATTGGTCTTATAGAGCTGATGATCCCTATTGTTTTTGGGGTCAGTAGGTCAAAGGTCAAGGTCACACTGACCGTTGGTCAATTTCTCGTTTCCGGATGATAACTAGAGTTCCTTTAGACCTACAGACCTCAAACTTCATAGGATGATTGGTCTTATTGAGCAGATGATCCCTATTGTTTTTGGGGTCAGTAGTTCAAAGGTCAAGGTCACAGTGACCGTTGGTCAATTTCTCGTTTCCGGATGATAACTAGAGTTCCTTTTGACCTACAGCCCTCAAACTTCATAGGATGATTGGTCTTATAGAGCAGATGATCCCTATTGTTTTTGGGGTCAGTAGGTCAAAGGTCAAGGTCACAGTGACCGTTGGTCAATTTCTCATTTCCGGATGATAACTAGAGTTCCTTTTGACCTACAACCCTCAAACTGGGGGGAGACATATTGTTTTTGCCCTGTCCGTCTGTCAGTCCGTCGTCCGTCAGTCCGTCCGTCCATTCTTCGTTTCGGATGATAACTAGAGTTCCTTTTGACCTACAGCTCTCAAACTTCATAGGATGAATGGTCTTATTGAGCTGATGATCCCTATTGTTTTTGGGGTCAGTAGTTCAAAGGTCAAGGTCACAGTGACCGTTGGTCAATTTCTCGTTTCCGGATGATAACTAGAGTTCCTTTTGACCTACAGCCCTCAAACTTCATAGGATGATTGGTCTTATAGAGCTGATGATCCCTATTGTTTTTGGGGTCAGTAGGTCAAAGGTCAAGGTCACACTGACCGTTGGTCAATTTCTCGTTTCCGGATGATAACTAGAGTTCCTTTAGACCTACAGACCTCAAACTTCATAGGATGATTGGTCTTATTGAGCAGATGATCGGGTATTTACATTATCTTATCTCCATTTCCATTCCTGTTTCCATTCACAGTTATTCTCAGCAGTGGGGGAGACATGCGCTTTTTTACAAAAGCATCCTCTAGTTGATTATAATTTATCCATTCAGTAAGTTTTATAGGCATGTATTTAAGTTACCAAAAATATTAACAAAATACAAAATAAAACTTTTACTTAAAGTGTAGAAAAGTGAAATTTCTTATGTCCAACACTACCTAGATCTTGCATTGTTGAATTGTGAATGTAATTTGGTCATTCGGTTGTAGGGGCCCCTCATTGTTTATAACTGAGGTAAATATTAGTATAAATATCAAAATGTTTTGTGAGATTTCATACCTCCAGGTTAAGAACATAGATAATGAGAAATAATTACTTAATCTGGATAATGTCTTTTTTTATTATGAATGCCAGGTTCTGTTCTCTTGCTTTCATAAGCCATGTGGTAGCTATAGCTGGTCAAATAAATCAGATCTGATGATATATTAATGTAAACCATGTAAGGTCTGTGGCACCTAAAATCTTCAGTGAAATAACAGCAAAATATAAACAGCTTTTCTGATGTCAACAATCTGATGTTAATTTTCTTGCTTGTTTTCTGTCCTTTATTGTGTAAGGTGTACTAATATTTAATTAATTTACAGAATGTGTTAAGTTAGATAAATAAAGTAATCATTAGATAATAAGGTTTCCTACTAATGTAATGCATTAAGATCATGTTTGCCACAGTAAAAGTTTCATCATGCGGCACATGCATTTTGCCACATAAATTGACAGCCCAAGCATTTTATTACAACCAAAGTGCCTAAATACAACTCAGAGATTCTGCCTAGTTAAACAACACATGCATTTTGCCT